TAGTATGTGTCCAATGTGACATTTTTAATCCTTCAGGAGATATTATGCATTAAAATTGTACTTCAAGATTTATCATAGAGCTTTGCTGGACTATATTATGTGATATATTTGATGGGCCGAATATGTGCGAATTGTGGGAAATAGTTGATGATTCACTTGGGTTCGCTCTTGTTGCAAATTAAAAATCTTTAAGAATACATTAATTTTAACATTTCAAAACTCAAATTAGCATTTTTGACTGTGATTTTTCTGTCACTGGTGCTATTTAATATAATTTAGAAATAACATTAGCAGCATCCTTTCAGTAATCATCCACATACATGAAGGTCAATACAAAAGAATGCCGCCCCAATAGCGAATCTACATAGTACAATACTTGTATACATGTAATTTGTTCTACTTATGTAAATATATCATATTTTAATAGATCCAGTTGTCTTTATGCGCTTCTGTTGCAGATGCACTCCTTGAGCAAATACGGTATCTTTTGGTAATCCAAAATGAATTTATAGATGCATAGTAATTTCAAAGTTACTGCTTTTACTTTCACTCCTATAATGTCACCCAATCTATTTAACAATTTTTTTCTCTAAATTGGCTAAGGATAAGGATTATATTTCACAATACGTAAATAGAAACTGTCAGTCCTTGTTAGCTCTAACAAAAAACTCTTAGCAAAAAAACTCTGACGTAATTGCTTACCCACAAATCCGTAATTTAATTTGCTTTCACCCTATTTCCCATATCTTTATTCACTCTCTTTTCTGTATGTGGTTTAGTATAATTCTTATCTTTGTAAATTTATTGTGGATTGAATTTGGTCACATCTGTGGTAGAGCCAGGGTGTATTGAATATCAGATAAAAACATGTAGTACTGGTATCTATGATGCTTTGTCTTTCTTTTCATTTATCAGATTATAGAGCATGTGTCTGCGTACAAACCCTTATTAACCTCTGTCAAAGCAGAATATGAAGACTGTATTGAAGCTATCAAGAGAGGTCAAAAGGAAGCTTTTTACTTATCAGGAAAAGTGAAAACCATGGCATCAGAACAAACCACTCTGTCAAATTATCGCAAGCGAGGAGATGAGCTCGAAGACAAGTAAGTTACGGTTTCTCTCATCTTATTTCAATAAGACATCCATGCTGTGTGATATACACATGGATTTCAGTTGTGTAAATCATGTCAGTTTTGACTTAAACTGGAAATCATGTTTTTTTTCCTGCTTGATTTTTTGAGGTGAAATTACTGATTCCTGCACATACAGTATAGTGTCTAAATGGTACCTTTGTATGCTGAATATGCATTAGTGTGCTAATGGGTACTCTGTATCATACTAAGTGAGAAATGTTAATTGTCAATCACACCCATACATCTTGTTAGATTTCAATTCACATAAAGTAGAATAGACTAGGTTATTATTCAGATCGTCTAATTAATATTAGATTTCTTTTCCTTCACCTATTCCTAGTGCATTCATCTATATCTCCCTGTCGATCATTAGTGAGAAAGTGTAGTATTCACACACAGTTTCAGCTCTATCTGATTGTTTTGTTTCCTAGGATACGAGTAGTGAAGGAAGACACTGCTCGCATTACATCTGAGTTAGAATACATCAAAGAACTGAGAAGACAAAGAAACCAGAAAGATGATGATGACCTAAAAGATGTACCAAAGAAAAAAGTCATCAAAAGAGAAAACAAACAGTTACCAGGTCAGACTTGTATAGTTACCGTAGATCTCACTATACTATGTCATAGTGATAGACAGCATAAGCTTATAAACTACTGATTTGAATGTTTTTTTCACTTTTAGGTCTAACCATAGAGGAATCTACTGACATTGCTGTACTTAATAGGCATCTGCTTTACTTAGAACAACAAGTTAAAGATTTGATACTTAACAAGAAAACAAAATTTGCATCCAAGGAAAAAAAGCATGATATAAAGGAACAACTTAATGGTAAAATGTTTACACGAGATGAAGTCACTGAGAAAAATGAGAAACTCAAGAAAAGGTAGGATTTTATAAATCTTAGGTTGTAGTTTTGAAAAGGCACTTTCTAATCTAATATCCTTCTGATTTCCATTTGTGTTGCTAAGCAACCATGCTGGATAGTATTGCTTTGTGTGGTTTTGATATACTTCTTGTCGCCTCAAATTTAACTATATATTTTTTTGGCAATTTTTATTGGAATTACGTCCTCTGGCACTACTAAAAAATTAGATTTTGGAAATCTCATTTTATAAGATGATTATTTTCAGCATATTAAATGCCCATTGGTTTAACATAGAAAGATCTCCACAGTGAGTTGAATTACAGGCGTGCACATGTGCAGTTTTTCCAATTTCCTTAAATGTTATACTGTCAACTTTTTTAAAATCCGAAATTGAAGCACATAATCAGCTTGTTTACTATTAGTAAATATTTTGTGCAGATTTTTTGATAAAATTTCAAATTCTGATTGCTTTATATTCACCAATCTGGTACTTGTTATGTTATTACTGTATCATAATACTGTAGACGAACAGAAAATGTATGTGAGGGGGAAATCTCAGTGTTGTTGACGCTTGTTATTGAATTTTTTCTTGTGGTTTCAATGATTCAAATAGTTTTTATTCAATTTCATTCAAACATGTATATATTAACCAGTGTGGGATTTCAGCCTTGTTTGATTTTGGTATGTGTTCTATGTATATATTCCAAGATGTCAGTAATATGCTCTCCAAGATCTGGCAATTATCGTACTTCCCTGATCATAAGCCCAGATGCCTGAACATGTACAATCGGGAAAGTGGGGGGGGGGGATTATACTCGAGAACCACCCCATTGTAACCATCTTACCACCCACGAAAAAATATACAAATTACATCTTTCGTTCACAATGCCGGACTCAGATATTACGTCTTTTTGAAGGTAAAAAAGCGAAACGAGTCATCATTAATTTCCATGATTCTTTTACAATGAAGAAACAAAACATGTTCATAAAAATACACTCATTTTATTACAATACGATTTACATACTGTCTGAATTTACATTGTAAAATTGGGTAGGATCTGTGGGAAAACAGTCAAAGGCAAGATCTTTATCATTATCTTCGTTGTGGGATGTTTTTGATAGTATGCAAATGAAGCAATTTCAGCCATGATGTTTTTCAGCATGATTTGACCTGAAACAACGTCATTTGACCTATCAGGTCAAGTCTTTCATTAACCAATCAAAATGCTGTGTCATAGTGACGAAGTTTCTCGATTATTGACGATGTAATTTTTTTAACGCAATGCGGAAGTGAATTTCCGTAATGTTCAAATGCGTTCTGTTAGCACTGATTTTGATGAAAACGACTATTTGTCTCCCTAAAAACTAAAAAATTTTGTAAGGTAAACTTAGTGTGGAGGTATTTAAGCACCTTTCATGGTTTTCAACAGGTCACTCTCACTCAAATAGTTTATTCCATCACACCCCATTCACAATAGTCTCAATGGACACAGAAAAGTAAAACAATGTGTTGTTTCAAGGTGCGAAGTCTGATTTTACAATATATGCCACAGTTACGTAATTAGTGCATAGCTGATTTACAAAATATGTCAAGGTTATCAAAGACGCAAGTGTATTTGGGTTATCTGCAGCAATTAAACTTAGCATATGAATACAACAGCCCAGTAGAAATATGAGTACAAGTTTAGCTTGTTACAAATACCATAACTTTAAGACAAAGAGACTCATGGATTTACAGGATTAAACATGCAGCCACAACAATAGGTCACATGACTAAAAGTGGTATAAATGACAATATCTCAGATTTTCTTGTTTCAGCAAATAGTTTTTGTAATTAAGGTAATTTGTTTTCAGATTTACTTAATACAATCATAATCAAGAATGTATTATCATTGGATTTTATTTGCAATAATTTACAAACAATGTAATTTACGATAGCATTTGAAACATTTTTATTCAAATTATTTAGAAGAAGTTTCTAGAGTTCACACTAGCATACTCTTAGTAGTTAGCAACCAGAGAATAACATTGGTAATAAGATATGACTAGCACATATACTTTCTGAAAGTCACCATCGGCATTGCAATTTTACAGACCTCTATTATTTCATTGCTAGGCATCAACTTAAAAATGTGTCCCCATGCATTCAGTCGCCATTTAAGATGACTGAATGGCTGCCATTTTTGTGCTGAAAAATCATCAAAATCATGCATTATTGGCATTCTGGAACTGGATCTCGACTGTTTACAGATGGATTTTGTTCAAACTCGGTACATTGGACATTATGGGACCTTGATGCAGGTCATTTTGTTTTTACTGGTTAGATTCAAAATGGCTGACTGATGGCCATTTTTGTTTTAATGAATGCGGTTCTACATGTATGTCAATCATTTTTATGTTGAAAAATGATCATAATCAAGCATTAAAATTATTACTTTTATCCTCAGTATCACTGCATTACAATGTTTGACTTCACAGAAATGTGCGATTGAAGGTGGCAGTAGATGCAGTTCACACATACAATAAAGAGAAGCCATCAAATCAAAGCTTGGTAGATTGTGTAGATGTTGCTTTTACAAGACCCACATCCAAAATGAGCTCCTTCAGTGAGTATATTCTCAAAAGAGAAATGTATGAAATCTTGTTGTGACTTTTACATATTTCAATCATGTTTTTCAAGGTTTATCAGAATATCTATTAAAATAAGCATGTGCCATATTCCTATAGATACTATTTGATATTGCTTGCAATGTTCCAAGTACAATGTACCAGTAATGCATACTTTTGAGTTTAGCTATGGCGGCTAATACTTTTTCCCGGCCAGTTACCAAATTCAGCAGGAAAATTCAGCTTATTTTTTAGATTCATGTAACAAATTGAAATGTGCTACTACTGTAACATACACAATATATTAGACAGTATATTTACCTCATGTTTAATCTATTTTTCTGTGAATGATGACAGTTTTTAAATGATGACAATTTCCTCAGGACAATTCATAGCTGGATATTAAGAGCCACACATTGTTGTAGCCAAATCTAAATATAATTTGCTGTTAAGTGACCTGGCATTGGGTTTATGGAAGCCTTGTTATTTAGTTCCCCTCAAGTTGATTTAGCACTTTTGTTATTTTCTGATTGCCTCAGGTCATGAAACATACTCTACTTTTGAGGATGATGATCCGTCTAAAGAAAAAGAAGCTGAAGCCATGTTGGACTACATTGAGGGTTTTAATGAACTTTTTGAGGAGGAAAAGTACACAGAAGCTGCTTTACATGCAGCTAACAGTCCTAAAGGCATTCTCAGAAATCCTGGCACTCTGACAAGGTTTAAAGGTAACATATCCTAGTACTCAGACCAGAAATACATGTATGGCTAAGATATCCTGACACTCTGACAAGGTTTAAAGGTAACATATCCTGGCACTCAGGCCAGAGGTTTGGGTAAGATACCCTGGCACTCAGATCAGAGGTTTGGGTAAGGTATCTTGGCACTCAGATCAGAGGTTTGGGTAAGGTATCTTGGCCCTCAAACCAGAGATACATGTATGGCTAAGATATCCTGACACTCAGACCAGAGGTTTGAGTATGATACCCTGGCAAGATTTCCTAAGAAAAAGAGGATCATAATTTGGTTGTGTTTAAACTTTTCAGGATTACCTGTTGTTCCTGGCCATCCATCACCGCTGTTGATTTACTGTGAAGCTTTGATGGCCACAGTCACTAGTGCTGATATGAAACCCAGTGCTGAGATATCATGGGAATGTGTGGAATGTGCATTGTTAGAAGATAGACTAGATTTAGTCATGCACTGGATTGCACAAGACAGGTACATATTTAATCTATCTTCTCCATACACAATGAATATCATCAAGTGACTTGCTATACATGGAGGTAAAAACTTCATTGTCACGCATGATTGTATGCTGTAATTTATAAATGACTTCTGAGGTGTACCATGTTGCTTTTTCATAGGTTGACATACTGCTTAGAACTGGGTCATCTACTTAGTGACTACAGCAAAGACAAAGATCCTACAACTACTAACCAGTGTTTAGCCATGGCACAGACTGTGTATAGTAGACTAGAAGAACACAGACTGGTAGCATTATGTATGCTACGACAAAGACGTATACATGCATTGATTGAATACACACAAAAGAAGGCAAAGTTTATGTCTGGTAACTGGTTGTATTAATTAAATAAATTAGTTTGATTGAAGACATTGAAAGGAAGGGGAGGGGCA